TGACAGGTGCTGGGTTAGATAGTAGTTTAGGACATGACTACATCATTAGTTTACGACAGCCCTGACTCACTTTTCTTTATAGCACAGGGGAACTTGGTAAAACAGAGGGGTTAAATATCACAATAACAAAGAACAATTCTTGTTTGTCATCTCTGGATCCCTGTTGGCAAAGGGTTGTCTATTTATCTATCTGCCAGCTCTTTACGTTACATTTTATTTTCTGAAATCTTCCTCACCTTATCTGATTCCTTTGAAACTACCAGAGAGCTGCAGAGCTGAGGAGCGTCTCTGTGGAAGCTCTCCAAGCTCCTCATAACTCCTCAGCTCTTCCTGGGTCAGTGGTGTAGCCGAGGCTATCACACTATGGCCTCTTCACTGAGGAATGCTGTGGTTGCTTTCAGTTCAAACTCGGGACAAAACGTCCTTATTGTGACAGATTTATTCTGTCTGCACCAGAGGCTGTACCTTTACTAGGACAATTATGGTTGAAGACTTACTGGGAAACATTTCTGGAGGTGAAAATATTCTCATTTAGAATTAGGTGTGTCCCCAACTAGCAATTTACATAGTCAAATCTGATTTGTTGAGTTTTGCTTATAATAGATTGGTAGTTGACTTCTGCTTGTTTGTTTTTTTTGCTAATTGATCTATGTCTCCATTTTTTCCACACCAGACAAAACAGCTGAAACACCTAATTAAACAATTTCAATTTTTGATTTGGTAAAGGGACTTATTTTGTAATATGACATGTTCCATCCAGCGCTGTTTGTTGTGTGTCAGGGATGTGTGTGTAGGCATGGCAGCGGTGCTGTCCACAGTAATGAATGGGAGCAGGAGAGAATGATACACAGACAGACAGACAAAACATGTCACTTAGTTCGGTTTCTTGTTGTTTTTAACGATTGCAAATAGAACTTTCGACCCTCTTCTGGAGAGAGAGAGAGTGATACAGCTGTTTCTACACTCCTCCACATCGTTCGTAAGTTCAAAAAACATTTACGGCTATATGAGCATCACTTTCTTAGTTAGAGTATGTGCTCTGGGTGAATCTATACCAAAACAGGTTATGTATCACGATTTATTGAGAGAAACCAAGTAATTCTCTGTAAAATCAGACATTCACTGCCGTCATATGGCCCAAATAGAATTACGATAAAACTTAAATTAAAACCCTGGTCCCAGTTAAATGGCCAGTCCATTTTACTAGCCCAATGTGGCTACACATTGTGATAAATAAAGGCCTGTCTCAAATAGACGCCTGGTCTGGTTACCAAGCTGTTAATGTTTATAGATTTTCTTTGGATGTATAAAACCAGATTGTTGACTACCCACTTGAGCCAATGTTAGTTAGCTGTTTTGATCGCACGTACAAATATAATGTTTCAACTTTTGTCAACATGGAGATGCTACACATTGGATGGGATTAAGTGGTGAAGTGTTGGTATGCCGGGTGCCAAGTTATATTTATACTGGTTCAAATAAACAATTTGATTGACGCCTTTTTACAGTTTTTTACAGTACCCTTTATTCAATAACCACATTTTCCTGCAACTGCGAAGATTCAGCTGTGAGATTGGCAGTCAAATCAGGCTCCTTAGATTGAATAATTGTATATTTCCCTTTATGGAGTCACCCCTACTTAGAGCTGAAACAATAGGTCAATCAATTAATGAATCAATTGATAATTCTACAGAAAAAAAGACTATGGTTAAAATAACTTTGGTCATTTTTTATATAAAGATGCCAAATATTCATGGCTATGGCTATGATGACAAATATCTTTAGGTTTTGGTGTTGGGCCACATGAGCAATTTAAAGAAGGATTTTTCACAATAAAATAATGGACAAAATCATTAATGAATTAAAAAATAATTGGCAGATTCATCAATAATGAAAATGATCTCCTGGCTTAGCTAAACGTCATTGGAACCACAGAATTTCTCGCTAAGGGAGAAGTCCGGGAGTACCTACAGATTATCTATGTAATTTCAGACAGCAAGAGGTGACAGTGGCAAAAAGAGAGAGGGTGAATGAAACCATTGCCATCTTGGCACATAATCATAGCAAATACTAAAACCACAATGAGGCAAATGTTACATGTTACTTTGAAGCTGATGTTTTTCCCTGTTCATTTTTTGAAGGTGCCATTTTTGCACACAAATTAGTGCTAAATCAGTGTCCTCAAATTACTATTTTAAAAGTTGGATTATTCATTATGGGCCTACCAACACTGACACAAGGAAATAAGTATTTTAATTATGCCACACTGACAAGCATTCCCTCTCTGTTAAGTTTCATGTAGGGCTGCTATCAATATATTATTGATATGTTGCCCCACCCTACTACAAACCTATTTGAATATTATGTAATGCAGAGGTTTCCTTCTAGCATCATACAGGTTATCTAAAGACAAAAAGTATTAAACTTTGCACCATTCCTGAAAGCAGCGGCCCTCGCTGATGACTTCATGCTTTTTTGCTGTGGCCACGTCTGTTACCTAGCAGGAAATGTCTGCTGTTAGCTAACTGTTTGTTTGATTGTTTACCATCTGTTAATGAAAATACATTAGTTCCGCCTGGGTAGCTCCTTTTTTGTAAAAGTCTACAAGTTGTATGATAGTCCCGCCATCGTGAGGTGAAGACAAAAAATGCAAAGTGACATTGCTTGATTTACCTGTATGGCAGGCCACATGTATTTTGAAAGACAAGCCACCACAGGCTAATTAAAAGTGGTCCACAGGTGGTCTTAACTGGGTAAGAGCATGTAGATTTAGTAAAATGTGGTGAATGGTAAAGGGTGCGTCTGCAAGGACATTGCCAGTACAGCAGAAGAGTTGTGCCCTGCTGCCAGCCAGTCAAAATACAGATACCTAATTCACTGGGCAGCAGACACAGTGAAAACCTCTCACTTGCCTGAACACTTGTATGCTGACCTTTCAAAGCTTTAATCTGCTATTATGGTATGGCACAGTATCAGCCCATCTTTTGATTTTATGGTAATGGCACTATGTCAGGTGGCTTTGGCTCTTCACCGCAGTACTGAGCAGGTTTCGCCTTGTTTCAAGTTTAACACTGCCAACAACCTTTTAAAGCTGGCAGATGCTTAATGTGTTTGGGTGCAGCATAAATACCTAACTGTGCTTAAAGCAAAACATAAATCTTTTAGTGTGTTCCTTTTTTTCACATTCTAATACATGATGTAACAACCAATACATTGAGACTGAGAACAGATAGAAACCCTTATCTTAGCTCAATAATCAAGTCTTCTATATTTTAAAGAATATCAACCAATCATTTAAACTCCCAGTGAGCAGGTCAACTGGACAAAAAGGAGCGACTAAGATTGTTAATGATTATATTGTGAAGGAGAATCATTTTTCTCTGTTAATTAATGAGATTATGTGTTAATTGCTGAACGAGCTAAATGTGTTAAATAGTGTGAGAGACGATGTCAGCATATGGACTGACAACAGAAAAAAAGGGAAAACATAATTAAGAGCTCTTGTCTTACAGTAAGGTGCTTTAGTTAAACACATACACAGATGTTATGAGGTTAACAGATGTATAGGAGTTTAAGAGAGGTTCATCAAAAACTGCATCACATAAAGTACATTAATGCGTTTAGCACAAACCTTTTTTGATTTCAGACATAAAATTGTGGAATAGTGGGGCGTCAGTGGCTTAGTGGATAGAGCAGGCGCCCCATGTACAAGGCTGTTGCCGCAGCGGACCGGGTTCGACTCCAGCCCGTGGCCCTTTGTTGCATGTCATTCCCTCTCTCTCCCCCCCTCTTCACACTTATCTGTCCTATCAATTAAAGGCAAAAATGGCCAAAAAATATCTAAAAAAAAAATAAATTGTGGAATAGTGAAGTTTTTAAATCTGTAACATGAGTTCAACAGAAATGCCCTTTGAACACTTCTGCAAATAAATAAATAAGTGACACACGTGCAGATTAATTACAGAGGTGACAGACCAGTTTGTCTAGCAGACAGTAAAACATGTTTTCTCATTATGATTTTGGCATCAAGGCTTTTCCCTTTGAGACAGACACATGAGGGTAAATGCATGTTATAAAGGATCACTTTAATCAAAACACTAATAAAGCTGATGTCTTTGGAGCAAAGCAGCACATCAAAATTGCGACATTGTGAAGTTCAGAATATAACCTGCTGAGTGAAATGGTGAGTGCAAAGGATGATACTTGCATTTCCACAACAGGGCCACACTGAGGTTTAGCGAGTCAGCAGCAAGCTTACAAGCTTTATCATAATGCTGAACGCAGATAAATGCTGAATGATTTCTAACCCTGTTTGGCACCATCGTGGAAACAATTAATTTTTCAAGGAAATGAGGCTGTTCATAGCCCTGTCTGGTCCTGTTATGGAAAGACCTGGCTGGCGGTCTCCGACAGCAAAGAGGTGAAGCTCTGGGAAACCCTGCGAAGCACTATAAAGGGAAACCTTAGGAAACCCTGCTAAGCACCATGATGGGAAACCCTGCTAAGCACTATAATGGGAAACCCCAGGAAGCCCTGTTTGGCTCGATGGTAGACAGCCTTGTTTGGCCTCAAAGTCGAAGGCCTGTCAAAAGCTGTGTTGAAGATAAAAGTCATCAAGAAGACAAGCACTAAAGCAAGCTTCAATTAGGAAAATGTAGGCCCTGTTTGGCACTGTGGGAATTCCTGTATTCCCATTTGGCATTCGGTGCCAATGTGGAAAGCCTTGCATAACCCCTGCAATGAAAACCCCCAGCTATCAGCCACTTTCTAGCTCTACGTGGTGCCGCCCTGAAAAGTCCCAATAGTTTAGCACTGGGTTTGAAAGCTCTGTCTTACCCTGTTGGGGACCATTAGGAAACACCATGGTTAGCCATGTTGGCCCTCTTATGAAAGCCCACCTTGGCCTTGTGTGGTCCGGTGTAGCTGTGTGGTAAACCTCCTATAGGCCTCATTGACCCTGTTGGCCCTTGAGTGGAGAGCAGGCTCGTAGAGGTACTTACCTTGACCCTGTGCTGGCTGAGGGATTACAGAGACGAGAACGAAGCCCAGCAGGCAGAGGCTCAGTCTGACTGAGAACTGCATCCTGGTAGCAGCAGACAGGAGGACAAGACACACCTTAAGGACAGGAGGAGAAGACAAAAATGAAAATAAAGGTAAGGTAAGGAAGGAGACAAACAGGAGGAGGAACAGGTGATGAGACAATGCAAGACAGCGAGAAGGGAAGAAGGAAGGAGTTGTAGAGAGACAGAAGGAGGAAGAAGGCAGATGAAGGGATGTAGAAAGAAGTCAAGGGAGGAAGGAGGGAGCAGGAAGGACATGAGGAGGACAGGAGTGAAGGAAAGGGAATGTGTGAGGTTGGAGGAGATAGGGAGAGGAGGATAGAGAGGGAAGAGCAGCAAGGGAGTGATGGGGTAGAGGAAGACAAGGGTAAGAAGAGAGATTCAAACAGTGTGAGAGACAACTTAAATTCTCCATATGACACACATAAGAATGTTATCACGCTGTAATATTGAGGCACTTAAGATGTGTATTTGCAGTTACAGACTGATGTATTTCATTGCTGCAAATATACTTTTTAAAAAAGCATGTGATTTCATTAAGTGTGCAGGAATGGATTTGCAAAAATGTTTCAAAAATTGGTAAATGGAGATATGAATAGGCAGCCATGTCTGGTAGCAAAGCAACCCCTTAGTGATGTGCAGACCTGTGCACTTACATCACAAATTGTATGACCACCCCAGCCCCCTGCCCCTCCCCTCAAATTTCCTCCAAACTGACATCCCATTGGTTTACAGTTTAAAATGATCCCTTTTTAAATTAAGCTGCAAAATATATGTCTTTCAAATCAGTGTCTGTTTTGCTGCTTCTTTAAATTTCTTGTATGCAGAAATACCATGTGGAAAATGTGCACACTGTTCAAATACATTTGACACCAAAACATTCAATCATCCCCATTCAGGAAAGAAATATGGCATCGAAGAATGTATTCATTGTCTTTTATACATGTCATTTAAATTTTGAAATGTCCTTGTGGTTTAATGTATGTGAGCCAAACAAAACATCATCTCATATTGAGAATTGCTGAATGTAAGGCTGCCATTAGACATGGGAACATGGATTATGCCATTGCTAGACACTACAAGGAGAAAAACCCTGGTTCGGTCACTTCCCTTATATTTACTGGCATTGAAAAAGTACAACCAAGAGGAGGTACTTTGATCAACCAACTTTTAAGAAGGGAAGCATTTTGGATCCATGAACTGCATATAAATACTGTGTACTGTGAACTGTGATGTAAATATTAACTTATTAACTCTTGTACTCTTTATGAATCTTGCTTTGTTTTTTTATCTATGTCATTATTTCTAAATTTATTATGCTTTTTGGATGAACTGAAAATTATCTTTTGAAAAATGTATTTGAAGAATGTGAGAGAAAAAAATATTGAAGAGTGAAATATCTGTGATGATTAGTCATGTGACCCATGTATATTTAGCACACCCGTGAGTGCTCATGTGATTCTTTTCAGTGAACCTGAAGAGACCACAGGAGAAACGCATTGTTCTCTCTAAATAAATCACAGTAATTTAGTTCAGTGTGCAGTGGTTTATGTTGATGATTTTATCAGAGATGTTCCTGTGGCTGACCAGCACCTGATCCTTGAAACTGGCTGTGCAGAGGGAGTTCTGTTTACTTATGCAGAAATACCATATTATGATAATGACACAAAATGTCTTGCCATACTATATTAACAATACGTGGATCAGGCCAAAGTATAAAAGGCACTAAATATAAGCATATCAGTGGGTAAATTTAAAGCTCGCTGTCACATACACATGCAAATAGCTGCATCATCCATAAAGTACATAACTCCCTGCAGAAGACTGATGCAACATGCAACACAGCTGTAACCATTCAAGTGCTCTGTTTTCACCTGAAGACATAAATAACAAAAATGATATATATTTGCAGCAACTGTGGGCAATATTTTAATGATTAGGAAAAACCTGCATCTGATGTGTCTAAAGAAAAGTCACATTACTTGTGAAAGGATGCATAAATATACCTTTTGTTTCCAACTAGTGCTGCAGCCAACTTTTAATTCCGGGCAATTTTCAATAATTTATTGATATGGCTGGCAGATCTAACTTGGCATTTACACCATGTCAGTGTTAAGACAAGCCGTGCTTGTGGTAATAAAAACAGAGATAGGATTATGAGGCTGTTAAGAGCAGCCCTGCCTTGAGAAAAATTCACAACAATATACATGAAATATTCCCTCAGGGACTTACAGCGTGACTGTAGTTCACTGTAGAGGGTTTATGACGACATTAAAGCACCTGGCTATTTTATGTCCAACTCCTATAATAAACTTTAAGAATAGCAGCTCCTGTATAACTTAGAGCCCTGAAGTTATATGGTTGCATGCCTCACTACAGATCCTTTAAGGCTTTATGTCTTTGCATGTACCGGATCAATCACTCACACTGTAAGGTACTGTAAATACAGTAATAGGCATCGGTAGTTGCACAAAAAACGCACAGGCACCCGATGCTGAGACAAATCCTATATGATATCTTATCAATGTCAAACCACTTTTTGTTCACCTTAAATAAAACCAGCGGAAGTTTTCCTTAATTGAAACATGCACAGGTGAGATCTGCACGTTGCGCCATCAGCAGAGCGGAGCAGCATGAGAAAGGGTCCGCGGATCAAACAGCTGTTTTTTGCAGATGTGTGCAAAATGTGTGTGAAGAAAGAGCAGCCGTACCTTCTCAGATCATATGTTCCCTGGCTCCGCTGCTCTTCTCCGGACAGCTGTATGAGAAGCTCACTAGTCCCCAAAGCGACTCTGACCCACACTGTTCACCAACTCTCCGCTCCCTGTCGACCAGGAGACAAGTTAGACCCAATGGAACACCTCACTACCGGTCTCACCTTTCAAAATAAAATCCTTGCTGACTACTACCACATTTTAGTAAATAAGATGACAGTCAAAACCTAAAATATGTGCTGATAGGGAGAATTAGAAAGTCAATAAATATAATATTTCCTCACCAGTTCTTACTCAAGTTTTCATATTATTACCAGTAGCTACATTCTAAGGGTGCTTTCACACCTGCCCTGTTTGGTTCCATTTAATCCAACTCAAGTTTGTTTCCCTCCTAGATGCGTTCCTTTTAGCGGATATATGCACAGCAATGCGCACCAAAACATCCGGACCTAAACCTTCTTCAAGATGTGGTCTCCCTCTGCTTAACAAACTCTGGTGTGGTTTGATTGTGGTGAGAACGTGTTCCGACCTTATTGTTTGAGTTAAACAAGCATGAGCGTGTTACAGTCCCCGAGGATTATTAATGTGCGCCTCATCCTGTACTGCTTTAATATGTACATCCAATGCATCAAAACATTGTTTTCTAGTTGGAGCCTTGTCTTGATTTCGAATTGTATGGTTTGCCTAAAATGAACATAGTAAGCAATATAGTAAATGATGACCAGCGCTAAAATCAACCCGCGTAGTTGATGGGATTTAAGTGATTTAAGCAAAATAAGCAAATAATAGCCCGGGCTATCTTATCTTACTATATAATGACGAAAACTCTGTCTATGGGTGTGTCTGTGTGTGTGTGTGCGTGTCTGTTCCACGTTTTTCTCCTCACTGACTTGGTCAATCCATGTGAAATTTGGCACAGTGGTAGAAGGTCATGGGAGGATGGTAATGAAGCAATATTACATCAATTGGCCAAAGGGGGCGCTATAGCAACCGATTGAAATTGCAAACTTTGAATGGGCATATCTCATGCCCTGTATTTTGTAGAGACATGAAACTTTGCACAGAGATTGCCTCAAGAACCCATAACTTCTGGTTTATAGATTTTCCACCATTTTGAATTTTTTGAAAAACACTTAAAATCGATCTCTTCCTAGGAAGCTTGACCGATCTGCATGAAACTCAGTGAACATAATCTAGGGACCAATATCTAAAGTTCCCTCTTGGCAAAAGTTGGAAAACTTACTAAAACTGAGCTTCTATAAGGCAATGAATATTGTGGAGGGCTTGGCTCATCACATAAAGGTGTTTAACATCTCAAGGGTTTCACCGATCACCACGCAACTTTGTAGGCATATGACCACACATAATCTGAGGGGACCCCTCCATTATTGACCCCATCAAACAAAATGGGGGCGCTAGAGAGCTAATTTCTTATCTAGGCCAAACCACCATATTGATTTTTACTAAACTTGGTAGATATCCAGAATAGGACGCCTCAAGGTGACTGGAGAAATGTAACTCTAATTGGCAACTGGGTGGCGCTATAACAACAGAAAATTGCTTAAAAATGGCTAAAATGCGACCGATCACTGTGGCTCTCCCTGTGGCCCAATGTTTGTTTTTTTTTTCTAATATTTGGTATGACTAAGTCATGGTATGGTATGCTGTACATAATCACGGAAACTGTCAGTCAGTCATTCTGTCTGTCCCATGTTTTTCTACTCACTGACGTGGAAAATCTACTGTATGTGAAACTGCACATAGGCATTGAGGATTGGCATAGCTAGAAGGTGACAAAGCTACCAATGGGTATGGACTTGTTAGGCTATTAATCTTTGGTTTGATTGATTGTCTTTGGGCCACAGAAAGCAAGACAGAGTGTCAACTCTCACCTTGAGTCCCTCCTAAATATCATAAAAATTTGAGTCAAGAAAGAAACCTTCCTAACTGGACTTAAATTTCCACACCCACATCAAATCTGTAACATCATCTGCCTACTACCATTTAAAAAACAACCAAGCTCAACCAAGCCTTTATTTCCAGTAAATTAGATGACTGCAGTGGTCAGTTTGTAGGACTTTCAAAACAAGCTGTTCAACAGCCTCAGCTTATTCAGAATGCTGCTGCTCGGGTCCTGACAAAAACTAGGAAATATGACCACATTACTCTAGTTCTAAAATCTTTGCACTGGCTAACCGTCACTCAGAGAATTTATTTCAAAATCTTGCTGCTTGTGTATAAATCACGCTGTGGCTCAGTGTCCAAATATATCGCACACATGCTTGTGACATATGAACCTTCTGGGACCCTGAGGACAGCCTATTAAACGTCCCTAAGAGTCACAAAACAAGTGAAGCAGCATTTTGTTATCATGCAGCACAAACCTGAAATAACCTCCCAGATGATGTTTGACAAGCCCCAACTCTGAACACTGTTCAGTCAAGCCTAAAGAAAAATTTTTTTTTTTTTACATTGCCTACTCGGCCCTGTGATGACTGCAACCTTAATTTAAAATCATTTTAAATAACCTTTTTATCTTTGCACCTCTTGTCTGCACTTTTTTTAATGGTGATTGTTTTTTTTTTAAATCGTACATTAATTTCATTAATTTAACCATTTGTATACTTTTTCTTTTTACTCTTTACTGTATCCTTTATTATGTTTTGTACTTCATTGCTCTGCAAAGCACGTTGAATTGCCCTCGTGTATGAAATGTGTTGGACAAATAAAGCTACCTCGCTTTGCCCTTTTTTTCTTTTAATTTGAAGACAACATGTCATTACTTCCTGTCTATCCATAGGTGTCTCCAGCTGGTTTGACGCTGCTGATCTCTCAGTTGAGACTTGCAGCGGACTGATGGGTGTTTCCCGCTTCATTCACCATCCACCCCTGCAGCTATTCATTCCTTTTACCTCGTTTAATGCGAGGCGAGGCGGCAGAAAAATGTGTTTGAGCGGCAGGCGGTGCTGAGCGGCTGAGGGGACAAAATGTGTATTTTTGTGACCCCTGGCTGTAAACTGCAGGGCTCCTTTTAATACGTCTCTGTGTTCTGGGCAGGTGGCATACTGTAAAAACTTGAAGTGCAGATCATGGAATAAGAATGGGAAACACTTAGACTGACAACTTTTCTTCATGTTCATAGGCGGGTTATACAAGGCCAAGGTGCAGAGAAAAAGACACTTTAATTCAAATAGTTCTTGTTTATTTTATTTCAACTTGTGAATGTGCATAGCCAACCAGATTAAGTTCCTTTTTCCCATGGATGTTAAAAATGTTTAAGTTGAGTCACTTGTGCTATGGGTGATGTAAACACAAACACTGCACTGCTTTCAGCATAATTTGCCTTTCATTGTGATGTGTTTATTTCATCAGCATAATATGATGGGCCTTGAAATCCTTTACATAGTAACTGTCCACACAGAGTTGCAGTTCTGATACGCAGGCATCCTTATCTTTGAGATAGCACAGAGCCTTGAATGAATAATGGACTTCTGTCTGCCGAAGGTGAGGCGCTCAGTTTCTCTTTACCCCGGTTATTACAGGTTTGTTTGCTGACCATGTAGCCTTTAACCAACAGTAGAATTGGAGGTCTCTGAAGTCGCCTGTATTATCATAATCATGAATATTTAACAGTGGAATTCTGTGTGTTCCCTTCAGACTTTGAGTTTCAAACTGCAGCTTGAATAAACAGATTATCAACCTGAGTTTTCTTCAGCAGGAGTTCATGTTTAATCTGTTTGTTTATCTTTTACAGAGTAATGCGCCTCGATGCTCCTTCAACTCAGACTGACAAAACCTTTATCATGCTTAATTTATTTACATTACCACAAGTACAGCAGCGTGATACTATGCAATTTCAATGTCAGAAAAACTAAAAAAAATAAATAATTTTCTCATCTGACTTTGGATTAAGATGAACTGTGGTCAGATTACAAAAATGATGATGGTGATGATCATGATGAAGCAGTGGGGTAAGGTAGTTACCACAGGCCCAGTGCATGCTATTGTGACAGGCCCTAGTACATGTTAGTAATTAGTTATAAAATGCACACGCACACCACTGGCAACTGTTTATAAAAATGCCAGAGGAATCTACTTCAGGGAGCTTTGCTACTTTTTCCTCTTGTTTGTTTCTCTCTTGTCCTTTCTTACTGCAACTTTTATGTTTGAAAGGACTGACTGCTCACTGGGCTTGTAGATAAACTCAGCTTGTCAGTCTTGACAGATTTTGTACCTAAACTAGCTACCTTAGTACATGATCAAGACTTGACATTACCAACAACCACTATTGCATACCTGTATATGACAAAAATATTAAAGAAAATAAGAAATTGTTAATTCAACTTAACACATTCTTATTTATTAATAGTTTATTCCTAGTTCATTTAGTTTATGTAGAACATATGATTTTGTTATAGATTGCAACTCACTATCCATCCATCCATCCATCCATCCATCCATCCATCCATCCATCCATCCATCCATCCACCCATCCATTTTCAGCCGCTTATCCAGGGCCGAGTCACTGGGGCAGCAGGCTGAGCAAAGTATTCCAGAAGTCCCTCTCCACAGTAATGTTTACTCTGGGGGCCATGGGGCCTGGTTGGGCTAGCCCACATAAATAATACAGCCTGTGGGCCCACCATCCGGAGGAACAGGAATCAAGGTCCGGTGCATTGTGTGCGGGGCGGGGTCCTGGGTGTGCTGATCCCTGGTGTCGATATTGACTATTTTAAGAAAATCATGGTGAGGTGGGTTTGCATTTTTGAGGGAATAAAGCCTATAACAAATGGCACCATTTTTAATTTATTGTGAGTCCTTTTTTAAACACAGGTGTAGTTCCACAGCGGCAATCTAAATAATTTGCCAGGTCTGCATCCCACCCCACCCCACAGGCTCCAGTGCAACCCCCTGCCTGCACTGTCCTTATTCACGCCCCTGTGATGATGGTAAAAATTGAATCAGATTTACAAAGTGTTTCATGGTGGACAAAAGCACTGATAAAACAACAGCAACAACAAAAACATAAACATAATTTAAACCTGAACACACACACACACACACACACACACACACACACACACACACACACACACACAA